AAATACTTTCAAAAGAATCCAATAAAACTGAAATCTAACTCCTCCAAAGCCAAAATAGAAACCAAAAGACAATAGAATAAAATACACTGAAAGTAACTACTTATCTAGAATTCAACAGAAAATTCTATAGAATTTTCAAACAACAATTTTCAAGCAATCAAAAATTAAGAGATGATATCATTAACACACCCTCTATGGATGAAATTCTAAAAGACAGACCTCAGAAAGGCAGGGAAAAAAGTGATCTGGGCTAGATCTTATCAGCTAGCCCTGGGATCTTGCCTGGACTCCAGCTAGCTTGATTCCGTCACCTACTGACATAAAGAAAAAGTGAATTTTATATAGTTTGATCAAATTGAAGAGAAGCTGCTAGATTGCTACTCCACTGGTCCCACAGAAGTGGTTATAATACATAGAAACAAAAGCCAAGTGCTACACATATGTAAATTTAGTTAGCATGTGCCAATCAGACTGGGGTAAGAGCCAATCTCCCTCTCAGGGTACTGGCATCCCCCAAAGAAGGGGGAGGGAGCTCTCCAGCCTTACTCTCAGTATGAGGAAATATGGGATGCAGAAAACAATTATCATGAAGTCATAATTTCAGAAGGGCCCTTAAGTTCAGTATTTTTCAAAACGGTTAAGAGACAAGAAGGAATGAAAAATAGAGTAGTAAATATTAACAAAATTAATAAAATTTAACATCATAAAACAACTTAATAATGCAGTAATGATATCATCTAGTGGATTTAAAATAGGAATTAAAGTGCCAAAAACATTAATATATAAGATGGGAACATGATAAATGGGATTCAAGTGTTTTGAGGTCTTTTTATTATCCATGTGAACCATAGAGGTTTTATTTTACTTTATACTTAGAACTGCACATTATGGACTATACTTCTAGGTAGATATAATAATATATTAGAGAAGAACAATGGTCCTGCCAAGACTACTATAGAAACTAGAAACTGGGAAGCTGTTTCCACAGATACTCATTTTGTGGGGGTATTTGCTGATTGTTACTTAGGACAAGAGGTTGAAATTCTGGATTTTGACTAGGCAACGGGCTGTCAAGAAACAATAGCAGAGATTTTGGAGATCTGACAGAACTGTGGGACCTCAAACTCAAAGTTTTTCCCCCAAGACATTTGCCAAACACTGAAACCATAAGAGAGAGTAAAGGTTAAGCAGAACACTTTTGAAAAACAAAGTTTCTAGTAGTCTTATAGTGCCAAGGAAACAGACAAATGTTCAGAATCTCTGGGGTCAGGAAGACCACACCAGGCTACCAATGCCCTGGAGGCTGTACCCTAGAAGCAAAGACAAATCAAAAACAGACTGACTCTTACTCTAAATGCCCATCAGAGAAAAAGGATAGTCATATTGTCCAGAGCCTCTATAATTTTATGACACTTAATCAAAAATTACTATGCTGATAATCCTTAGTAAGAAAAATGAAGCAGAAGGCATCACAATATCAGCCCTTAGATTATATTACAGAGCTATAATAACAGTACTTGGTACTGGCACCAAAACAGACATGTAGACCAATTGTACAGAATAGAAGACACAAAGACAAACTTATATAAATATAGTTACCTCATACTAGACAAAGGTGCCAAAAACATACACTGAAGAAAAGATAGCTTCTTCAACAAATAGTGCTGGGAAAACTGGAAATCCATACGTAGCAAAATGAAATTAAATCCCTATCACTCATCCTGCACAAAACTCAACTCAAAGTGTATCAAGGACCTAGGCATGAGACAAGAGACCCTGCACCTGCTAGAAGAAGAAGCAAGCCCAAATCTTCATCATGTTGGGTTAGAAACCGACTTCCTTAACAAGACTCTTAAAGCATAAGAAGTAAAATCAAGAATCAACAAATGGGCT